CTGAAGTTCCAGAGTGGCCACGTCTGCACCATAGACAGCCGAAACACTCTGGGCCCTTAAGTAGCGTCTACAATGCTCACTAGATAGCGTGGGACATCGTATTGGGCCAGGGTTGCCAGGATGTGGCTGTGTTTTACCGAGCTAAACGCGTTTTGCACGTCGAGTTGGACAAGTGCAATAGGCGCGCTCTTACTCCTTTTTCTGCCAGCCCTGAACGCTTCGACTACGCGCATGACAGCAGAGTCAACCGATTTGCCCTTGCAGAATCCATGGACAATCGGAGAGTCCAATCGCTTCTGGATCTGCGGGCAAGATGCAAGCCGTTCTACTATGAGACGTTCGAACAGCTTGCTACCTGAACCGACCAGGCAGATTGGCCTCCAGCCGTTAGGCTTGGTGGGGTCTCTGCCGGCCTTATGAATGAAGATCCCTTTGGACGACTTCCATCCATCGGGATATATACCAGTCTCAAGGGCTTCAGTGAACTGGGTACACCAGTTGTCCTTCAGCACCTCGAGAGTATCGAGAATGACGCCATTGGTCACATCATCCTTTCCAGGGGCCGCGCTTCTCCGTAAACCATTGGCTGCCTCTCTGAGTTCAGAGTAGGTGACCGCCGGGATGGGATCAGTTTGCGGCGGTAGAACCAAGGCATTGACCTCCGCAGCCCTTTCGGGATCACGGGGGAAGAGCCTACGTAGGAGGAAGTCCGCTTGATTCACTCCATGCGGGCATATGGCCGCAGGTGGAATTCGGGGACAACCTCGTTTAACACAACGAGAGTCTTACGACCACTGCATATCACCACGAATATCGCGTTTTTCACAGTATAACCCCACTTCACGTAAAACGGGTGAAACTCCATTATATTTATACTCAAGTATTAATAATATTAATATATTCTCACTAGTAATAGTACCATAACTTTCCAAAATCGTGTAGATGCTGAGCTCTGTACAGGTTACATTCAAGCTGGTTTCGAATGAATTTACTAAGGAAACGATGGGATGCCCATTCGAATTCGAGTTGCGGTATACTGTAACTCTAGGTGGGGACTATTTGGGGATGCATATGGAAGTGGTGAATACTGGTGCGGAGGCTATGCAGTTCACAACAGCTCTTCATACGTAATAGTCCATGAACGGCTGTGTGGAGAGGACGAGGAAGAGGGTTTAGGTACTTCTCGGTCGGAGATATTACTACGACAACAGTAGCGGGAGTTGGTGAGCATCATTACAACGATACGGCTCAGGGAGGCAAGGACTGTAAGAAAGGCAATTCATATAGTGGAGTTTCACCCGTTTTACATGCAGTGGTGTAGTACTCTGTGAAAAACGCGATATTCGTGCTATGCGGTGCTATGGGTGAAATATGTTTTTCACTAGTGTTGTGAAACTCCAGTGACTATTTAAGGGTTTGGTTTTCCTGTGCAGGTTATGATGGGAATTCGGTGGTTGAGTTTAATGAGGGTATTGTGGATAGAGTGTATAAGCAAGCAGCTGTCCCCGCTCATATACTTTGTGACGGTTTTGAGATGTGAGCAGTCTTCATTGACTTGTGATGATTTAACGCTTTTCCTGTCAGATTGATGGCTGAGAAGAGCCCGTCGTTCCCGGACACTGTTGTGTGGAATATTGGCAGCGACTCGTTAGGCGATATGCCCGCGGGGGACTTCAAGAGGTAGGTTTACTCAGGGGCTAGTAGTATCATACTCATTCGAGGGTACTCCTCATCGTGATGTGTGCGCAATGTGGTATTGAAAGTTTATTTTGTTGAGAATTGTTGAAAACATTGAACTCCTCATGTAGTAGGCAAAGATTCAGGAGTTGGAGAAATGATGGTATGATTATGCCTCTCGCTGTTCTCGAGTGTATAACTGAACTTGATTGATAGATACATTTGCGTCGAGTCTGCAGCCGCAGTAGAGCCAGTGAAGGTAGCCCCTGGTGATTCATGGGAAGCTGACCAGGAGCTTACCAGATGCCTTCCTAATAGTAACGGCAGTGCTTGAACAAAGCACTGCATTGGTCGCTGAGGGGGCCTCTATAAAGTGGGTGCCCTTATTCTCCTATTGATATTGTGTTGACCTTATGGCAATTCTCTCGATGCGTTGGGGTTTGGTGTTCATCACGTGTTGACAGGGTTGTGGACAAGGTGGTGGGGTTTCCTTTCGTGAAGTGGCCGATGAATGGTAGGAGGATTTCAGTAATTAATTAGCTTTGATAAAAAATCCTCAATGCACTCTTCGAAAGCCCAAGAAACTGTGTGCGGGAAGGTGATTTTCTGCCGTTTGTTCTAGTTTTTTCGATGTTTCTTGTGAGTATCGGGGAAGTACCGCATCCATCAGCGTTTAGTATGTTGCTTCATATGGCTCATTCGTTGAAGGAAGTCTTAACATTGTTGAAGACAGAACTTCTGTCACAGAAGTAGACACTGTGACTGTTCGAGCACATGATGATGTTGTGTGATTCACGAGTACCCCACATCCCTATGATACCACCCATGAACCGCAACCGTTCCAATTTGGAACGGTTTGGGACTTGAAAATAATTACAAGATATTCCAATTCATGAGAAGGAAAGCCACACCGAAGGAAAACTAGGGGTGCTCTCCGTTGTGGCTCAGAGATTATCTCCCCTCTGCAAGTAGCATGCCTTGAAATAAGAGGATTACTGACTTCGACCACATCTCTGATGTTGGTTTCACCAAGATTGACGAGTTGAGGGAGAAGATCGGTGCTGATCAATTAAGGAAGCAGGCCCTTGTTACCCCGAACAAGATGGGTGCGCAGATTCTCGAGTCCAACGTCAATGCTGGACTCAGGTGTTCAGGTGCGAAGTATGCGTAGTTGAGTTTAGAAGAACCGTTGATCATCATGAGCTTGGTGCACCCTGTGTAAGAAGGGGTTCACTCGTGGTATATCCTACAGCGAAGTCCAGAAGTACCTAAAACAAATCTAGCAGCAATAACAAGCTTGAGAACCAAAACCGTCCCTACAGGGACTACATCAATTAAGCATAGTAGACAAAAAGTGTTCGGATCTTCAGACTCTAGCTTTCTGCGATAGTACAGTGCCGCTGGTACTAACCACTATGTATTGGTCGGACCAATACATAGTACCAACTTGGTCCAGTCATTACACTGAACTACCACGGTAACACTGCCGTACCGCCAAGGCATTTTGAACAAACCATTCGCACCTGTCTCACATTCGTATGGCAGACCTGATCCTTCACTTTTTCGACATAAGCACGACGATAACCTAGGCCTTTGAATTGAGGATTTGTTTTCACGTCAGTCCAGCTTTTGAAGCTGACTATCCCAATGGCGGCTCTTTCTCCCAGAATTTCGAGCCCGCATATTCAAACGCTTGTGAGTTGTTGTGTCTCTCAGAACACTCCGACTGACCAAAAGTAGCCCAGTGTCCGAGATGGCCGGAAATGATGAGGAGCGGAGAGATGTTATCGTACTGGAGAACGTTGCCGCCGCCAAAGGATGCGACACCCATCGCTTCGCCGGTCACGGAACAATAAGTTGAGGCAGTAGCTGATCCCGAGAGCTGCAACGGTTGGGTAAACATAGAATAGGAAGAAGAATAGGAAGAGAAGTGGGTCCAGGCCATACTTTGGACCAAAGTCTTTGGTAACCGCTCGCCTGTGGCGCGCTTGTGTCTTCACCATTATGACTGATAATTTTTCAGGGTGCGCGGGAATTTTCTCCGATTCACAACTCCCAGTATTCACTTTTTCATGGACAACCGAGTTGAGCTCATCAAGTTTCAACCAAATAGTCCTCGTGTCGATCTAGGTTGAGGTATCATGCGCATCACTGTGCCGAGCGGTCCGTGCGGACTGCTGAAATTTTGATGACTGGTACAGTTGTCTCAGACAACTTGTCTGCTTACGGCAATACAATTCACAACTACATATCCATACTATTTCCTTTGTTGTATTATCGCACTATCTTCGGCGAAGACAGCGAAGATCAGCGAACATTCTTCGCTGGTCGGCTTTGATGACCATGGCTGCCCCGCAAATGTTGCAATATGGCTCGTGGGCCATTACTCTCCATCCTCCTCGTGTGCCAGACTGTCTCACGGTGAGCCACTCACTCGGTCCGATTCTCACTGCTCCTCTCGGATACTCCCCGTAGAAGGCAGAAGGCCCCCCGTATCTGTTTCGCGAGCTAATAATCCCAAATTGACTGTAACCCAGGACATATTCGCGTCCTAGACTGACTCATAGTCTGGGCCTCTGAGACCATATTCCAGGAATATTATCCCAGAGGGCGAAATAGGAAATATCGAGAAAATAACTTGGCGCCTAAATCTCTGGGATCAGAAGATCCCTGGGATAGCCGAAATTTCTGGGATAAGCCCAGAAGAGGGAATATCGAGCGAAGGCGAGATAAGAAAAGTTCGTGATGTTGACCGATAACTGCTGAACAATGCAAGCTATTCAGGTCGGCGTTCTACTAGTGAGTGCTTGCGTATCACCAAAGGTTACCGGTGAGGAAAGATTTGAGTATCTGTTGCATCCCCACGGGTTGATTGAGCACGAGTAGATGGCCTGCGTTCTTCACCTGAACAGGCACCCTCAATGTTCGCTACCAAAATGTGCTCTCCACCTCAACGAATGCGAGTCTCGCTTCATTGGGGTATTGAGAAGTACGCGACGTTCCTATGACGCCAATTCCAGGAAACTGAAACATAGTCCTCGCCATAGCAGTTGTGGTTAGAGGTGTCACTGTAATAGAGTAAGCTCCTGACCTTGAGATCTTGGGGTTTCGATTGTCTGAGTGCTTCGCCGTACCCCTCCTTCCCTTTCAAGTTGAACAGCCACTCCGTTGTACCTACCGCGTTCGTGATATAATCCTCATCGCCATTGACCACAAGTATCTGACAGATACTATCTGTAGCAGTGATATACCGTACTGATCCAATGAAAGGATATTCCGTATCGACTCCTTCACTCAGCCTCCAGACATGACTTGTACTATATCAAAATTAGTGGATTTGGTTGAGCGTAGCCGTCCAATATTAGCTACATCATCGAGTTTACCATTTGCGTTTCTTTGTTTTCACGAAAACTTGAGAAATCACGATTTTCTTGCGACTGACAATCGGATGACTGGTATGCCCCCCTGCGGCGCGTATTGGGCCACCGAGTTCGCAGATCCATAGTCACGGTGTATCCCAGAGGTGACGATCTCAGATCATTCTCACCTTTAATCCGTGGTCGAGGAGTTGTGTGACGAAGAAGGTCCCATCATAGGCGGTGTACTTATCGAAGTCGTCTAAGACCTGGTATGAAACTATCATGTTCAAATGGAACCCGAAAT